TGGTGCTGAGGATCGAACCCGGGACGCATGCATGCCAGGTGAGCGCGCTACCGCTTGAGCCATATCCCCAGCCCTGGAATCTGGTTCTGTACAAGCTTCTAGATCTAATTACCAGTTCACCAGAAAGATAAGGGCTAAAACAACACTTCGGTAATTTGTATGATAAATAACCTAGTTTATTTTAATAAATAAACACTATTTCAAAGAAAAGAAGGAACTCTGTTCTTAATTAAAAGTTAGAAACTTGGGGCTGGGGATATGGCTCAAGCGGTAACGCGCTCGCCTGGCATGCGTGGGGCACTGGGTTCGATCCTTGGCACCACATAAAAATAAAATAAAGATGTTATGTCCACTGAAAACTAAAAAATAAATATTAAAAAAAATTCTCTCTCTCTCTCTAGGAAAAAAAAAGAAACTTAAAAAAAGAAAGTATCTACAATACCACCCTCTCACTCAACAAAATGCACAAGAATTATATCATGTAATGCCTAGTACATATTCAGTTTTCTCTAGTTATTTTAAAAAAAAGCCTTTTTATATTTGGTTTGTTTGAATCAGGATTTTTTTTAATACTCTTATAAGTATTAGAACAAATTTTTCTTTTTGAAAATCACATTTTCTTTAAGAAATTAGCTAATTTATCTTAGAATTAATTTTGCTTCTTTTTATTGATTATTTTTGAAAATGCAAGCAAAAAGTGCCATGAATGTGATATTTATGGGTGTGTTTGTATGTGTGTGATCTCTCTCTTTGGATGTATGGGAAGTGTGTATATGTGAGTATGTAAGTATGTGCATCACACATGCATATTTATATCATACATGCATATTTATGTCACGTACCATGTTCGCACTTAGATGCACACATACACACATTTCCCTCTCTTTCTTAGATGTAATGTTCCAGACACAACTCTGTATGCCACACTTACTGTTTGTATCCTGAAAGTCTTCTGTAGCAGTATGTGGAGAAGTTTTTTCATCTCATTCTGAAGTTGCGTGGTACGCTTCATGAAAGTACCATAGTTCTTTCAAATAGAGCTTTATTGATGGCCATTTATTATCTCTAGTCCTTTGCTGTTACACAGTGTTGCAGTAAGTACCCTTATGCATGGAATTTTTGTGTTTTCATTAGTTCGTCTTTGATATAGGTTTCACCCAGATTGCTGGGTCACAGCTAGCCTCCTCTTCAGAGGGGTTCCCTTCCTTAGGAGCTGTCCAGTTAGCATCACTCTAGCAGTTCATGAGAATGCCTGCTCCTCCGCGGCCATGCTCATGGAATAGTAGGCAAACGTTTTGGGTTTGGATTTTTGCCATATAGACGGAAATGAAATTTCTGTGTTGGTTTAATTTATATCCTTTTATTATAAGTGTAGTTGAGCATAATTTCATAGGTTTAAAGGCCATTAGTGTTTTTTTTTCCCCTATAAAACATTTGATCAGATTTTTGCTCATTTTTTTTGAGAGGTACTGGGAATTTTTTACATATGTTTTGTTTTTTCACTTTTTTTTTTTTTTTTACTTTGCTTATGGTGTTTTCTCATGCAAAAGTTGATTTTTATGTTATCACATAATCTATGGGCCAAAATTGGTAGAGCTTATTGGTAAATAAGGTCTTTGGACTCTAATGTTAATGTGATAGGGAATTATTTAAGGATTTTAAATAAGGGAGGTGTAAATTCTGTTTACTTGTTAAGAAACTTTATGGGGCAAGAGAAACTAAAGTTGAACTGATTTTTTTTTCTTTTTTGCAGTGCTAGGGATCGAACCCAGAGTGTTGGTATATCCAGGCAAGTGCTCCACCACTGAGCAGCATCCTCTGTCCTGTGAACTAATTTTTTACTTGCATATGTAATTCAGAACTTGCCTTATTTGATCCTTGGTGTATCTTTTCTCTGTAATGGTTTCTCTCAAGCAGGCATGTGATAGTAGAGGTGAATGCTGTCACTTTAGGTCTCATGTTCTCACAGTGATCTAAGTAAAAATTAATTCATGATTCCTTCCTGATGGTTTCAGTTAAAAGTCCCAAGGCAGGTGCTGATTGGCACATCTTCAGATATATCCTTATCTCCGAGACTGAGCAAGTTCATAGTGGCTGGGACTATGAGAAATTTATCATGCTTGGGTCACACACCCCCTCCTAGAAGTTTAGGTGGAGGAGGATCTCATGATCTACATGTCTTGAAAAGAGTAAAGAGGGGGGTCTTACCATGTTGGACATTCCAAAATCCTACCTGGTACTGAGGAGCACCTGGATGGCAGGGTTATGTGGGAGGTTTTTATTCCAGCGTGTGTGCAGAGCCTAGGGGATTGGATGGATTTATGCATTTTGTTTTAATGCCATTTTCCATTTTCCCTGTGTGTCCCTGTCTTTTTGTTTCTTTTTTTCCCTTTTGCAATAAATGACTATTTTCTAGTGTAACAGTTTATTTTATTTATTTTAATTCCTTTATGATTTACACATGTGTTACATTTATATTTTACATATATGTATTGTTTTTGGCAATGTTGGGGATTGAACCCAGGACCTCATGCATGCTAGGCAAGTGCTTTATCACTGAGATACACCTAGTTATTATATATTTTAACAGTATTTTCTTGGTAGCTACTCTAGGACTTTGCATATAGATCTTCATTTTATAGGATCTATTTAAGATTTATCATTCCAAAGATAATAAGTTACTATTACTTCTGTTTAAAACTATTCCCTTTTTCCCTTATTGTGCTATTATTCATAAGCATTATATATCACAAATTTAATCATATTGTTATTTAATTTTATGTTTTGTA